TGATCTGACTGATCTGAAGAAATGGCCGATCTGAATCGACTGGACTAATCTGGACTGATAAATCTGATCTATAATCTGATCTTTGAGCAGCGCTGATTCATAAGAGGCCAAGATTTAGAGAGGGCTAGGCAACGTGAGTTTGAATCTCTTCCGAGACATATTGCTATCACTTTTCTACAGTCCCTTCTTGAGACCAACGACAAGCAATTGAAGATGGCGCAAGAGCGTCTGCTTCTTCTCCTAATTGCGAATATATACCAAACAATGATGAGCAAATTGGTTCAGCAATGTCTATAACATCTCCCACCATGCTCCCTGTCCGTCGCTATGATCCTTTAACACCAACAAGCCGGCTGCCAGTCGGACCATGCATGACCCCAGTTGCGGAGTAATTCTTTCCCTAGTGGTGTCGAGCTCAAGATGGAGCTTAAGCAGGTTGCCCGGTAGAAATTGAAAACTGCCCTCGAGTTAGCAATTTGGATAGTGAACCAGCTGCATCAAAAGCGCCATAACAAGTAACAGCAGAAAACCGAACGTGACCGCAGCAAGATGAGTGTGATAGATCTGGAATTAAGATGTTGAGTGTGATAGATCTGAAATTAAAATGTTGATTGGTGTAAGCTGCTTTGATGAGAACCGGGAAAGTAATCAGCCGCCTGAACGGATGCGGTTTGGTGGGTAGGTGATTGAGGGTGGATTGTGACTGGGGAGCTGTGGCGTTGCGAGAAGAAGAATCGGTTTGGGGAGGAAGCGGGGGAATGCAGAGTCAGAATCGTGTTGATGAACACTACGGTGGGGTGACCCAGGTAAAATTTTGGGTTTTGTTAGAGTTTGCGCAGGGCACCTCCGGTAGGCTTGACTTCATAGATCCACTCCGCCAATCGGAAATCGGCTGGAGAACGGATGAGGAAAGTGGGACTTGATACTCCGTAAAGGCTATCCAAAATCACACCCGGTTCCAGTACTGCATCCGTGGAATAAAAGGGTTGCCTGTGAGGAAAGGTGGCTCGTGCGCCTAGTTACCTTCTTGCGCTACAGACGCGCATCTTGTGTCTTCTTCTTTTTCCTTTCCTCAGCTTTCGATTAGCAGAATTGAGTAGTGTTTGCAGCGCCCTTGTGCCTCGCCATATATTGCTCGTCTCTCACATTGCCCATTAATTCTAAAGCCTAGTTATCGCAGTTCCCAACACCCTATCGTCGTATTTTCCCCTTCTTTCTATTCCAATTCGGCCCTCTTATATTCCGCTGTACACTTCAATATACGATGATCAGTAATGTAACGGTCTCAGGTAGTATATTGCAACTAGCTGATGACGACTCTACGAGTAGTACACTGAACTTGGAGAAGAAAAGGAGAGACGACAGACTCTGGTAGCTCGCAAGCATACTTATCCTCGTAGGCGCACTGGTCTGAGCGCGTTGCTAGAAGGTTCGGTGTGCTGTGGGGCGAGTGGGAATAGCCTCATCAGGGGTCTTGGTATTGGCCGAGAGTCGCCGAGACTCGCACCGGGCCCAGCCCGTTACAAGCAGAGCAGCTTACAGATATAGTCTATCGGTTTCAACTCAATCTATATATCTCTGGAAGAATAGATCATAGACCGCGATATAAAGTTCATCTCAAAGTTCTATCAGGCGTTAATGACATGCCTAGGAACGGAAAGCAAGCTTTCGACAGCCTACTACCTGTCACGGGTGGGACAGGCTGATAGACCAATGGCAGTTGTATTCGGGCTACGCTACAGTCTGGGCTCTATTCCGTCAGGTACGGGCAGGCTTGATTGTCAAGACGTAGCTCAAGGAGCTACGGCAGAACTCGCGGCAGCGAGGTGCAGGATCTTCAACCCGCGGGGCCCCCACACGCTGGGCCCTGTTGAACTGAGTGGGTTCCTTGGCACCAAGATTCACGGACTGAGCACTGATGCGAGACTCTGCTGCCTGAGGCCGGGGCTGTTGACAGTGCTCGATTGGCCGCTGTGCCGCACTTGCTGCATAAGCCTTAACGGTTCTGCGGCGCAGCCAGTTTCACCGGTTTCTTGAAACGGACAGCACTAACAAAGGAAAAGAGGCGCCCGTTTTTGGATCCCGAGACCACCTGTTTTTTTGACCACTCTTTCCCAAAAAGATAAGCTTCTAGGGGCCGGACCAGTAGTTGGGTCGGTGACGACCAGCGAATCCCCGGTGTTCGTATGTTTTTTTTTCCCTTGTCAAGTTCCTTGCTTAGGACACAGGCGCTAGACAAACACGACATAATTTCTGCCCTCGGTTACTGAACTATATTTTTGCTTCGCTGAAATTCATCCTCAGGCAGGCGTGTTCATTCAACGCGTCCTACCTCGCCTTGTATTACACAGTATTTTTCGGCATGCCTCCAAATTACGCACTGCCTGGATTCGATGGGGCAAGTTCTCGGCCCCCTTCAGCAAACGATGTCCGGCATCCTCTGGCTTACAGTTTCCACCATTCCTCGTCATGAATGCATTCCTTGGGCGCAAGAAGTACGACTCGTTTCTTGGACGGGAGGGCCTCCACCTGCGAGCCTGGCTACCGTCAAACTGGAAAGCTTTCATCGCCGCCATCGAGTATCACTACAGCATCCCGGAGTCTGTCAAGCGGTCCGGTGATCCGTGGCTGATTGGCGTTCTTGAAGGACTCGTTGAGGCCTATTGTGGCGAGGTAAGCAAAACAATTGGCACAGTCTGAGTGTTGGCTCTGACATGCCCCATAGAGAGGTTTTATGGGAACTCACAGATACAAGGTCTACGGCATTCACAAAATTGCGAGCAAGACGGGCCGGACGGAGACGAACGGCTTGTCTGGAGCCCCTGACTCGAATGCTAAGCCGTAGGAAGAAACCCGCAGGCAGTTCTCCGAGGCAATGAAGGAGCGTTTGGAGTCGCAGTATCGACGTCGAACCACACGAAATGCGCGGCACCTTCGAGGAGTGCCGCTACAGGTCTCGAATCCTCGGTCGCTCCTTTGTCGACGCAGACCCCAATCGGTCCATTGCCATGGTCACCCTCAACCTCCATGACACCTCCTTCACGTTCCAGCCAGGGGATCGGCTGGCCGTTATGGCCCTCGGACAGCTGGGGGGAGTGCGCCAAAGTTGCAGCCGCTCTGGGCCTTGCTGAGTATCTCGACTACCCCGTCACCTTAACCACGCCTTGGCAGAGGTTTGCTCGACAACTGGGATACGTGCGCCATGGTTCTGTCCCCCAGCTCACTGTGAAGGACGTCCTGAGACGCGGCCACCTAGCGCCGTCACCAAAGAGCTTGCTCTTGAGGTCCATGATATGCTCCGAGCATCGTCCAATACAGTCCTCCAGGTCTTGGCTACCACCGAGTGGCCTGTTCGCCGTACGCTTGGTGATCTTCTGCAAGCTGCCGTCCTTGACACGGACCAGCACATTTGGGACCTGGCGTTCGATCTCACAGGCGCCTTCTCCTGGCTCTCCGATTTGATACCTGTCGAGGTGCCAAGAACCTACTCCATCTCGAATTACCCTAAGGAGCTTCTCCCTTCAGCCATCGATTTGACTGTGTCTTGGGCCGAGTACAAGCTGTGCTCGACATTTGCTGGCAACAGTGAGGTGATTTGCGCCGATGTCGGCAGCGGGTTCCTGAATCCATTCTATCCTCAGACGACGAGATGCTCGAAACGGGCGAGCACATCCTCATCGGCGTCTCCAGACCTCTGAACTTCCAGCTTCCTATCGACAGGGCCGTCACGTGCGCTTACTTTGCTGGTGGTAGCGGCATTGCCCCCTTCCGGAGCTTCTGGCAGGCTCGTCTATCCTCTCACACCAACACCGGTGGCCGGGATATCCTTTATCTCGGGGTTCAGAGCCGAGACAAGTTCTGTTACGAGCAAGAATTGCGCAAATATGTGGGTACAGGGCCTATGGAAGTCTATATTACCTTCTCCCGTGACAGTCGCGGTCTTGCCTACGACCGTGGATCGCGCGACCTCATCGAGAAAAAAATGCCGCCTCGATACATCGACGCCCTGATTATGGAGCAGACCGCGACTGTCTCAGAGCTCGTCATGTCGAGGAAACAAGGTGGACTGGGCGGCTATTTCTACGTCTGCGGCTCTGCCGCCGTTTTTTGACTCGGTGATGAGCGGTATCCGAAAGGCGATCTACAACCATTGCAGTTCGAGCATGGAAGCCGCCGACATTATACTCAACAAGGCGTTTGCGGAACGACGGTTCATGCTCGACGTCTTCATGACGCCGAAGTCTCTGCCTTGCAATCTACCGACGATTCCTCTTTCGCAGCTCGCTCGTGAAACTGGGCGCCGTCCTGGTGGCCGCATGTGGATAGCTGTCCACGGCAGTGTGTACGACGTAACCGACGTCGCTCCAATGCACCCGGACGGCACCATCATCATCCAGTCCAACGCTGGTGTCGACTGCTCTACGACGTTCGATAACCTCGCCCACACCAACAACCCAGAAGTCAGCAGCCTCCTGACGAAATACTTTGTGGGATAGTTGACACCCAAGCCTGACTTCTACGGTAATCCGGAGTTGGCGGATCTGTACAACCTTTGGGCGGCATATCTCCGCACATCCACCGAGACACTCGTGGCCCACAGGTTTGAGATGTACGAGATCGCGGGTGCAAGCGATGTCGGCACCAGCCAGGAGTATCTCCGAGGCGCCGAGAATGTATGGCGCAGAGAAAATATGTTGAACATCGGCCTGGGTGTCCGGATGTTCTATGATTACCAGTCCCGTCTACTGCAAGGGGGCTTCTCGGCCCTTTTCGGCGCGAAGTTGCAAGAGCTCATTCTCAAGCTCTCCTTTCCCCTTGCCAATGCTGTGGCGTCCGGAACAGATACGCGGTTGCCTGATGTGCTGGGCATCATTGCTCGAGCCAAGACATCACCAGATGCCGTCGCCACATCGCAGGAGGTGGCGCTCATCGGCCAGTTTGTTTGCGAGAGCAGCAGTAATACTCGCTTTGCCAAGCGTGGCATAGTCAGCTATGCGCCAAACAGCGTGAAACTTGACATTGAGCTGCTGGAAGATATTCGTGAGGAGGCATGCCATGGAATGGATGCTTTGGGTAGCATTGCCGCCATGGCAGACACAGACGACAATCATAGGCTTACCGTCGCCGCAACGATTCTGATGCAGACGCTCGAAAGAATAGCAAGGCGACTCGAGGTCTTCTATTCTAAAGTCTCTCGCCTCCAAGTCTACTAACCAGCGCTGGAACCCAACCCGGCGAGAGCACGCTGGAACCTCGTGCGCACAAAGATCCGAGATGGAACCTTCTTCGTCCTCACCCAGAAGGCGGTCCTTGGGGCCACACCGGCATATGTTCCTGCAGCTAACCACAACAACGGCGTCGACTTTGACAATGTCATGGATCATGTCCAAGCTAGCATTCGTGGCTCGCCAAAGGTTAGCCTGGCGCCACAAACGCTCAATGCGATGCACCTCGCCAGGACGAGCTTACCACCCGCCGAAACAAGCGCCATGGCCACACACGAGAACAACACCGCCAGGCGCGCCATATCCACCTTCATCGACGCCAACATGCGCTCCATCCGGAGGCTCAGCAAGATGCCGCCCATGCCGCTGACTTTCGAGCAGCTGCAGCGGCAGTTTGAAAGCAGCAACCGGATTGGACGCCCGCCGACACCACCGTCCAGTCTCAACTCAAGCCGACCCCCGGCGTCGAACAGTCCGTCGCGTGCCACGTCGCTGGAGAGAATGACGGTGGCACAGAACGGGCGACCCCTTAACAACGGGGTCATGGCGCCCTCATATGGCAGCCTGTTTGCAACCGGGCAGAGCATCGGTGGCATCGGCATGGGCATGGGCAAAGGTATCCACTCTCCGCCGACCCCGCCCCTGGACCCGGCTGCGGCGATGACGGCTATGATGGGAAAGTTGAATGTCAGGTCGAGGGGAAACTTGGCGCCGCTCCATTTCCCCGCGGTGTCCCGCAGCTCCAGTGTGAGGTTGCTGCCGCATGGTACTGAAAGTGCTGCTGCCGTTGGCGCGAGGAACAGGGCGCATTCGCAGAAGCTGTCGACCAACTCGCTGCGGGCGTTTAGGTTGGGAACAGGGGATAGGGGAGCGGTGAGGGTTGCTCCTACTTTTTAGGATGTTGATGTCGTCTGTGTTCGTGTTCTTCTCATCTTCCTGTTTCTACACCCGAGTTCTACTTTTTCTTGGAGTTCCACCTCAAGTACACTCGGGTTGTAGGTCTGCCATGTTATCAGGATGGATGTCAGCTAAAATCCATCAAACGTGTCTGTCTACTCCGTTCATTCAGCCTGAGTCAATGCAATAAAGTCTTACGTCGGGAACGTGGTCTCAGTTATGCTTGATGGATCCTAATCTAGCGGGATAGTGGACTATTCCCTCGTCCCGATGTCCGCCAAATACGCCAGCACCTTTCTGACAAGAAACCTCCGTGGTTCTGCCTGGTCATCATTGCTCAACGCATGGGAGGCGTTCGGTATCAATCCGCTGCGCTCATCCCATATCCCATGTGCGCCGTCATGGTCGGTAGCACGCCTCCACCTCGCCAGCAACTCCTCCTTGTTCACCCAGTCTGGCACAGCCTGGTCCTTGCCCGACATCAACACCATCAGCTTGTATCTAAGTAACCCCCGCTGGCTGACCATGCCAAACGTTTTGGCCAGCTGCTCGTCGCCGATATCGGAGCTGAACAGGTCGTCCTCGGAGGGCGCCTGCGGACTGTCTGGGCTGACGAGGCTCAGGAACCGCCGGCAGCTGACGGGCGTGTTGCGCGGGTATCCGAACTGACAAGTCAGCGAGACGGGCAGCATGCTGTCTGTGGAGTGATCCTTGGCCACCGCCTCCCGCGCCATGGCCACCAGCTTGTCGTACGTCTCGCGAAGCTCGCTCGGCGTCCTGCCCAGGAACCCGGACTCCATGACCCACTTGATGGCTTCGCGATCCGACACGGGCGCCTGCATGATGCCTCCGTCGATGGCCGGGCGCTTGGCGTGTTCAAGGCCTCGGTCAAACGGAGGCGTGGTTGTATGCGGGTTGGGACGGGACAGGTAGTGCAGCACGCACTGGCTGCCGGTGGAGTGGCCGAAGAGGACCACCTTACCGGCGGTGCCGTACTTGGCCTTTTTGTACTCTTGGATGTGCCGTATGCACTGGGCAATCTCATCCGTGTCCCTGTCGAGGTGGCCGAATCCCCATGACTGGTATGAGGAGGTGAGCGTCGGCGAGAAGAGAGACCATTCGGTTGACTGAAGCCCGGCTACGACGTCAGCCACATACGACGTCGTGGCGAGGCCGTCGCCGAGACCGCCCAAGAAGAGGATGCTGTGTGGCTGACGACGAGTGCCTGTGGTGAACTCAAAGGCGACCAGAGTCTCGGTCTGATGAATTAGGTGGGAACCTTGTCAGCCATTGACACACAAATTATAAAAAGTCAAATGCAAATGTGTGGACTTACGAAATGGTGCAGAATCCCTGGCGAACCAGATCTTGGCCAGAATTTGGAGCCCATAGTGGTCCTGGTGGTAGCAGGCTCCGAGTCGGAGAGGGTGAGTGTGATTTCCAAACTGGAGGCGGCAGGTATCTCTGCTGCCGATAGGTGGTCGGGGTGGTCACGGTCCGGCTCTGGCAGGCAGGACGGAGAGGGAGAGCCACTGTGTGTGCCGGTCGTCTTCGTCATGGGGGGCTGTTTCTGTCCAAGACTGCTTGTTTCCAAGAAGTCCGCCACCGCCAGCAGCGGGCCCATCTCGACGTTAACTTAATCGCTCATCGACCCGACATCGGTGGAGCAGTTCCTGGTCACCAGGTTGCCATCTTCGGCATTGTGTGATGCTGTTGCATGTGCTTTGCCAAGGGGGTGAAGAGTTTGACCCCCGGCTGAAAAATCTGGATCCCCCGTGAGCCCCCACAGTTGACTTGATCTGATTGATAAGATTATGCGCCCCCAACAGCCGAGCAGGGTACCGGCAAAAGAGAGGAGGGGGAGCAAAATCAGTGGCCTCGGACCAAAGTATGTGTTATGGAAGCAGTCTCTAATTTCCCATGGATCGACCATATTTTTCAACTCCGTACCGAGAACAGAGAGGGGTGAAGGATTTGTCTGAAATGACTCTCGTCTACCTCTTTCGGTGACATCTACCGGAGCAACCTGCGTTAACGGGAAGGAAGAGCATGCTTCGATTGCAAGATCTTTTACCGCGTGGGGTCTGAGACTCCACGCGAAGCGGAGCCTAATGCGACAACAGTATCAGAATACTGTATACTTCGGGTTGGAGGCTCCGCGCCATGGCCGGGGTGATTTATCTGATCCGATGTGGACACACCCTCCTTGATCCGATCCATCTTCTCCCGAGGCACTCCACCGATGTTCGTGTGTCTGGTGGGCTGGACAAGGCCGACTGTGGCCCCTTGCCGATCTCGCTGCACATGTGTGCTCCTCCGGTTCGAGAGGATGGCTCTTGCGCCTCGAGCGGCTGCATGATGTGCCTTGCAGCGCGTCATACTGTACCTCAACAGCCCGCAGCCGCTGTCATGTGGGTATGCTAGTCCCGAGAACCAGGCTCCCCTTAAGCCTGCTGAAGGAAGTCTTCTGTGGATCTTCCTCGTGCTGGATTTGGCAGTTCGTCCTTCCACGACCGCCGGGTTTTTCCCGAAACCTCTCATACGGCATCTCCATTCAGATCGGATACCTCCCACTGTCCAACAACCCGCTTGACTGATTTTCGGACCACTGAATCCCGTAAGTCGTGATGGGTTCAATACATGTGTGTGAGAGCCTAGAGAATGGGCGGCTCGATATCCAACTCGATATCCAGGACGATATCCAGGACGAGATCGGCGAGCGACTGCCGGCGGAGACGAATGGTCATGGCTTGCCATCAGTCGAACTAATCGCTGTCGACTCGGATCTGGTCTCGGTCTCAACACCAACATCAGTAAGTCAAGAGCTTCTGCTCTTGTCCTGGCTCATGGTCCTCCAAAGGACTCGGGAAGACAGTCAGATCGGTTATGATTGGGCCTACAAGACCTCGGATAACGGGGCCGATGATGAGACGGCCAGCACAATGCGATTCTCTGTAAACGAGGTTATGCCAGACTTCGACAGCAGCGTCGAACAGTCTGCTGCGGCCATCTCTCGCCATATCGCATCGGCCTCGCCAAGGCCTACCTCTGCCTCCCCTGTCTCGCTTTTGTTGAGCACCGGTCCGTTGGCCCAAGCAAGCGAGAGCAAGGAAGTGGGTGAACCACATTAGTTGTTTTGAGGCAAGGATACTGACATCAACCACAGCCTTTGCTTCATATTGAAGTGCATTTCGATGAAGATGGGCACCTCAACATCAACCCAGTCTGGCACAATGAGTCCATGCTCCCGTTCACCGTGAGGTGGCATGTCGAGTCGCTGGCCGACACAGTCAAGCTGTGCATGGCAAACACTGGTGCGCCAGTACGGAGCCTCTTGGGCCCAACCAAGCATGACTTGGACGCCATATGGGGATGGAACCACGAGCTGCCCCCTACCAACGACTTCTGCATGCACGATGTCATATCCGAGCGGGCACAGCGGCACCCGGACAAGGAGGCCATCTCGTCTTGGGACGGGAGCCTCACATACGGGCAGATCGACCGGTACTCGACATATCTGGCCCAATTTCTGAGGAATGAACTAGGTGTCCAGCTGCAAGACTTCGTGCCGCTATGTTTTGAGAAATCCAGATGGACCATTGTTGCCGTCCTGGCTGTCATGAAAGCAGGGGCAACCATGGTGATGATGGACCCGACACTCCCACTTGCCCGCCTTCAGAACATGAAGGAGCAAGTGAGCGCAAAAGCCATGGTCTCGTCACGCAGGCAACATGACCTGGCGAAGTCTGTTCTGCCAGACGGAAAGCTTCTGGTTGTGGAACAGGAGACGTTTGCAGATATGCCAAACCCACAAGAAGCGCTGCCTCAAGTCCCAGCATCGGCTCTCATGTACATTATATTCACATCAGGGAGCACCGGCACTCCGAAGGGCGTCAAGATCTCCCACCAGACCTACTCGAGCAGTGCCATCCCACGGGCCAGAGCAGTAGGATACACAGAGGAGTCGAGGGTGCTTGACTTTGCGGCATACGCCTTCGACGTCAGCATCGACAGCATGCTGCTGACCCTCGCCAACGGCGGCTGTCTCTGCATCCCATCGGACGAGGACCGACTGAACGACATCAACGGGGCAATGCGGGCCATGCGAGTCAACTACGCGGGTATCACACCATCGGTGGCCCGCATCTTGGACCTAGACCTCATTGCATCCCTCGACGGTCTTGGTCTCGGAGGCGAGGCCGCCTCGGCGCGAGACGTCAACCTTTGGGGCCAGCTCACACGCATCATCATCGGATACGGCCCCTGCGAGTGCACCATCGGCTGCACAGTCAATAGCAGCGCCGCCAAGGGCAGGGACTACATCTCGATCGGGCCGGGCAACGGGGCGGCCATCTGGATTGTCGATCCCAACGACCACGAAACCCTGTTGCCGGTCGGTGCGGTGGGTGAGCTGCTCGTCGACGGCCCCATTGTGGGACAGGGGTACCTGAACGACCCGGAGAAGACGGCGGCGGCCTTTATCGAGGATCCGTCTTGGCTCACCGCGGGCCACGGGAAGTACCCTGGCCGCCGTGGGCGTCTCTACAAGTCGGGGGACCTTGGGAAGTACGACCCTGATGGCTCGGGCGAGATTGTGTTCGTTGGGCGGAAAGACACCCAAGTGAAGCTGCGGGGTCAGCGGGTCGAACTCGGTGAAATCGAGAGCCAGCTGAGAGCCAGACTGCCCCAGGACACCAACGTGATCGCCGAGGTGATTGTTCCCCAAGGGTCCGCTCAAGGACAGCCCACGCTGGTGGCCTTCATTGCGCCGCGGTCGACAGCGCACGGGAAAGATTCCGACTTGGAACATGCCCAGTTACATCCCGAGCTCGCCTCGGCGCTGTCTAAAGCCGACGCCGAAATAGGCCAAGTGTTGCCGCGGTACATGGTGCCTACCGCTTACATCCCGGTCAACAGGATTCCGACCTTGATCTCTGGCAAGACCGACCGCAAGAAATTAAGACAGTTTGGCGCGACTGCCGATTTGCGACAGCTGACGGCAGACCAAGTGGCATTAGCGGACGATGCTACCCCTGAGTCCAACAACCGGCCCCTGACTGAGATGGAGCAACGGTTGCGGGAGGCATGGGCCTTGACACTGAAGCTGGACGCCGCCAACATCCAGCCCAACGACAACTTCTTTGCCCTGGGCGGCGACTCCCTGGCCGCCATGCGCCTGTCGTCGGTTTGCCGAGACCAGGGCTTCGATCTCAGCGTCATCAGTACCTTCGGGAACCCCACCCTCGCTGCCATGGCAGCGGTTGTCGACAGTCTCGGTGCCAACAAAGAGGAAAGCGAGAGGCCTGCGTTCAGTCTGATTCCGCAGCCTGCCCACATCGCCATCGAGGAGGCAGCTCAGGTCTGCGGGATAGACCCAGCCAACATTGAGGATATCTACCCCTGCACCCCTACGCAGGAGTCCCTGTTCACCTTCTCCATCAAGTCTGCCGAGGCCTACATTGCCCAGAGAGTGGCATGCATCCCCGATCACATCAGCATCAACGACTGGAAGGATGCATGGGAGACTGTCGTGGCAGCAACCCCTATCCTCCGATCTCGCCTAGTACACCTCCAGGACCATCCTGGCCTCAGCCAAGTCGTGCTTAACCAGCGCATTCAGTGGCGTCATGTTGCAACAGAACTGGAGCAATTTCTCGAGGAGGACAGGAACGACAAGATGAACCTCGGACAAAGCCTCGCCCGGTATGCTGTCGTTGATCCTCCCTCCTCCCAGGACAAGCGATACATGGTCTGGACGCTGCACCACGCCGTCTATGACGGATGGTCGGAGCCACTCATCCTCGAGAAAGTCCGCGGCGCCCTTAACCACACCCAATCAAGAAATCCTTCTTCTCCGAGCAGCACTATGGGCGATTTCGTCAAGTACGTCTGGGAAACAGACGAGGCCGGCATGCAAGACTTTTGGCGACGCGAGCTGCAGGGCGCCGTCGGCTCTCAATTCCCACGCGTGCCCTCGCGCGACTTCCTCCCGAACCCAGACACCATCCTCGAGCGCCGCATCCCCTTCTCGGCCCTCACCATCGCCGGCCTGCCGTTCACGCTGGCCACCTTGATCCGTGGCGCTTGGGCCCTCGTGGCCTCGCGATACTCAGGTAACGACGACGTTGTCTTCGGCGAGACGCTCACAGGGCGCGACATTCCTCTTCCGGGCGTCGAAGCCATCGTCGGCCCGCTCATCGCCACCGTCCCCATCCGCGTGCGCGTCGACCGCTGCGGCGACGTGGCCTCGTATCTGCAAGCCATCCAGCAGGGCACGCTCGCGCGCACCCCCTACCAGCACATGGGCATGCAGAACATTCGCAAGGTCAGCCGCGACGCGCAATACGCCTGCGAGGCGCCCACGGGCTTGGTCATCCAGCCTGCGCCGGAGCACGAAGCGGGGAAGGAGCTCGGCTTTGTCCTGGGGGATGTTGTTCGTGAAGCGATTCACTTTAACCCGTACCCGCTGATGCTGGCGTGCGGGATCGAGGTGGACGGGTTTAGAGTTTGTGCTAGCTTTGATAGCAGCCTCGTCGGCGTGTGGCAGATGGAGCGCATTCTGGCGCAGCTCGAGACGGCGTGTGCTGAGTTGAGTAAAGATTTGGGAAGGAGGCTTGATCAGGTTCCATGTCTCCCTTCTGCCGAGCTCAACCAGATCTGGAGTTGGAATCGGGACCCTCCGTCATTGGTCTTAGATGCGACGACTGGGAGACTGCGGACAGATGTTACTGCTGTCAAGCCGGGGTCTGTTTATCAGCCCCGAGTGGTTGTCCCTTGGGTGTGTGATCTGCGGAATCCGTCCATACTTGCGCCCATCGGATGTCCCGGCGAGATGTGGCTTGAAGGGGACTTCTTGGCTGGCGATGGCGTTGTCGAGTCGCCTACATGGCTTGTGGCCGGGGCATCCCAATATGCCGGACGAACAGGCAAGGCCCAGTCAACCGGGGACATTGTCAAGCTTCAAGAGGACGGCACCTTGGTCTTTATTGGCCGCAAAGACATGAATACCTCGGCCCAGGGGCACGCTGCGGACCTAACCGAGCTTGAGGTGCACTTCAAGAGTTACCTCGATGCAGATGTTCGAGCGGCTGCAGCTATTTCTCGGCCCCAGGGGTCGCCCAAGCAGGAGCTGGTTATCTTTGTGGAGCGACCGCAGGGTTATGGGACCAAACCCAGTGTCGATGTCATGTCAGCCAAGCACACCATCGACGTCTTGGACAATGTGTCGATAGACGTCTGCGCCGCGGTTCCCGTCGGCCTTGCTTCGGCGCTCAAGAAACTTGACAAGTTTGTCCAGAACTCTCTCGCCTCGCACCTCGTGCCCTCAGCCTACGTCGTCATCGACAGGATGCCCGTTCAAGGAGAGCAGGTCGACCGAAGCCTCCTTCAGGAGCTTGCATCCAAAATTCCCGGTCAGGCACTCGAACAGCTCCGCGAAGGATTTCAGGAAGCGTGGAAGACGACCATACCGACACAACCCACGACGACAACGGCCGCAGAAGACATCTTGCAGTCTGGCTGGGCCAAGATCCTCGGGCTCAGCATCAATCAGATCGATGTCGATGACAACTTCTTCCGTCTTGGCGGCGACTCGGTCCTGGCCATGAAGCTGGTCTCCCTTCTACGGAGTCAGGGCCACGGGCTGACCGTGGCCGACATCTTCCGCCACATGCGTCTCGGCGACGCAGCTAAAGTGCTCAAAGTGAATCAGTATCAGAAAACTAACGGGACCACTCGAATAATGGCGGCACGCGAGCCATCGCCGCCCGAATATCAACCCTTCTCGCTGCTGACCCTTGAGGACAAAGAACGATTCGTCACTGAGATAGTACGTCCGCAACTGGGCGATGCGACCTGGTCCGTCCAAGACGTGTATCCGGTGACGGATCCCCAAACTCTCGACGTCATGGCCACCATTCAACCGCCACGGACATCACTCCAATACACCATGTTGACGTTTGACGAGGGCGCTATCGACCATGAAGGGCTACTCCAAGCTTGCAGCAAGTTGGTCGAAGCCCACGATATCCTGCGTACGGTCTTCATCCAACACGACTCTAGCATCTACCAGGTTGTCCTTAAGGACCTGGAGATGTCAATTGCGATCCACCAAACCGAGGCCACGGACATGGAGCAATCGGCCAAGGAGCTTTGCGTCTCCCATATCGAGTCCGGTGCCTACTGCCTCGGCAGCCCCTTCCTCCACATGTTCCTGCTCGAGAACACCGCCGGGCAGTCCTGTCTGATTATTGGACTCTCCCATGCGCAATACGACGGCGTCTCCCTCCCCAACCTTCTCCGCGACTTGGAGACGCTTTACGCCGGCAAGGCCCAACTTCCCGGACCAATCCCGTTCTACTCCTACCTCCTCCAGATCCACAATCCGGACTCCCTATCCAGAGCTCTCACCTATTGGCGCACCCTCCTCTCAGGCGCCTCCCTGTCCGTCCTTCCAGGCCAGACCGCCACCACAAGCAGCAAGGCGATTTTTCGAACCACCCCAGTCCCCAAGGAAGTCAGCCTCCCTGCCCAAGCGGGAATCACAACAGCGACACTCCTAACCTCGGCCTGGGCGCTGCTCCTGGCCCGCCGCCTGCGCACGCCCGACGTTACCTTCGGCGGCATCACGTCCGGCCGGACGCTCGAGACCTTCCCCGAAGCGGAGAACGTCATGGGGCCGTGCTACCAGTTCACCCCGGTCCGCGTCACCTTCCAGAGATGGTGGACGGCGGCGGATCTGATGGGGTTTGTGCAGCGGCAGGGGGCCGAGAGTATGGCCTGGGACTGGGTCGGGTTCGGGAAGATAGCGAAGGAGTGTGGGTGGTTGGATTTTACTAGTGCCGGGAATGGTGGGGAGAAAAAAGGGGTGGCGTACTTTGACTCGGTTGTGCATCATCAAGACTGGGAGGACTTTGATGTCATGAGGTTTGCAGGCCGGGAGTGCAAGGTGGGGATTGTGAACCCACATGGGGATGCCGCGTCGCCGATGAAGATTGTGTCGTTTGTTAAGGGGGGGGCGATGTATGTCGGGGTCGTGGGAGCGGAGGAGGATGAGAAGTTGGTCGAAAGTGTGTTGACAGAGTTGGCAGCTGTGGTGGGAGAATTGGCGAGGGGTGAAGGAAGTGGGTTGTTGGATGAAAAGGTATTTATGAGTGCTTAGTTAGTAGAGGGAAAGGAGGTAACAACTTACCTTAAGAAATGAAGGAAGGCTCAGATTGATTTTGACCTCATGGACTTTCATTATTTCTCTAGTGGACTTTTAGTTTCACTTCTCAACTTTCAGTTCTCGTGCAATGCGATCAGTTATTTGCTTCCATCTGTTGAATGGCCGTACTACTGTCCAAAGCTGTTATTGTTTATGTTGCCCGCGCCCTTTTCCCCATTTCATTCCCGCCCCACAAAACGCCGCAATTTTGTTTACCAAAGAATGATAACTTAGTTCTCAGACATATTACGCACTTCTAGCCGCTTTAAATCTTCGAAGCACTAAATATTGATCTACATGATCCCATTCATCACTCTGCCACCGTCTGATGCATCACATTCGCCCTATAGCCCGGCGATTTCTCAAACAACTCGTCGTGCGTTCCAGAGTCGACGCATCGCCCGTCCTCGATCCAGAAAATGCGGTTCGCCTTGCGGATCGTATGCAGACGGTGGGCGATGGCAATGACAGTGATACCCCTCGATGCTTTCTCCAAGCCATCCTGCAGCAGCCGTTCTGACTCGGCATCCAGGGCGCTGGTCGGCTCATCCAGGATCAGCAGTTTGGGTTTCCTCACGAGCGCACGCGCAATCGACAACCTCTGCTTTTGACCCCCCGAGAATTGGGACCCGTTCGGACCGCATAGAGTCTTATAGCCGTCTGGCAAGGCCTCAATAACATTGTGGATGTTGGCGAGCTTGCAGGCCGCCACAACCTCGTCCATAGTCGCCTTGTGACCAGGCCGCGCACCTAACCCGATGTTGAACTCGATGCTGCCCTCAAACAGCATGCTCTCCTGTGGGACCAGGGCGATCGAGTCGCGGAAAGCTGTGTCCCGGCTCTTTGTCACGTCGACGCCATCGATGAGGATAGCACCCGACTGCGGCGTGTACAGCCGCTCAACCAGCGAGATGATGGTCGACTTGCCGGCACCGCTCGGCCCGACAAGAGCGCAGAAACTGCCTGGCTTCATGTCGATGCTCAGCCCCTTGAGCACCTGGGCGTCTGGCCGGGCGGGATAGGAAAAGTAGACATCGCGAAACTGCACGCTGGCGGCTCGACTGTTGCTTGAGTGATGAGGGAGGCTAGAAGCTTCGAGGGACTTCTCTTCGAAGGAAGCATCGGACTTGGTAGGGGACGAGGGAGAGTCTGCGCTGCCTCCGGCAGCCCCATCAGCACGAGGAGCCGCCCTCCCCTGCATCCCGTCGGACCCAATCTCGATTAGCCCCAATATCCTTGCCATGGCTGCACGGGCACTAGACAGCTCGGGCGCCAGGGCAAACATTTGGCTCCAGAGCAGTGCGCTGACCAGCAGCGAAAACACGACAATCAGGAACTGCGCCGTCGAGACGTTCCCAGCAATGATCTGCTTCGCACCCCACCAGTACGCCAGTGCATTCACGCAGTTCCCCAGGAAGTAGGTAATGGCCTGGCACAGGCTGGCCTGCACCGTTACCCTGAGCGTCTCCTTGCGTGGGCCGCTCAGACTTCGACGGTACGTGCGAAGCGTCTCCTCCTCAAGCGACAGCGCGGCGATGGTTTTGATCGACGAGATGGCTTCGGTGCCTATGTCCACGGACTTGGTATACGCACTCTCGTGGCGCTCCTCGAACTTGCCCAGGACGTGCAGCTCCATGAGCCCCGCGCCGAGGAGCAGCGGCACAAGTGCCAGGCACACGAGCGCGATGCGCCACGAGATGATGTGCGTGAGCACGATGGCCGCGACCATGTTGACGGTGATGGAGAAAAGCGTGCCGATGACGGAGCCGCTGAGCCCGGCCAGGGCGTTGCCGTCGCGCGTGATGTACGACAGCAGCACGGCTGGGGTACGGCCCTTGGACTGGTGCCACTGGATGTCCTGTTCGAAGAGGGAGCGGAACGAGAGCACGCGCACCGAGTAAACAATGCGCTCTGTGACCCAGCCGAAGCCTGTCCAGCTGACGGCGTTGGCGAAGAACTCGATGATGGCGAGCACAAAGAACATCAGACCAAAAAAGTCGCCGCTTGACCGGATGCTGTCCGGGCTACGGCAGATGTTGAGGCTGTCGACCGTGTTTCCAAAGATGACGGCCTCGCCCGAAAATGCTCCGCCGACCACGACGGAGCCGATGAGGGCGAGAGCGATGACGAGAAGGTGCGGCCGCACGGCCGGGGCGTACCCTTTGACTAAAGCCCACAGGGACTTGGACGGTGTCTCACGCTCCCCTTCTTCCCCGTCACCCTCACCCCCATTGGCAATAAATGGGGCGGGAGCCTCGCTTATCGAGGTGCGATTCCCATGCTTCTCGACTTCCCCGTCCTCGGCATCACTGCGTGATGTCATGCTGGCAATGTCCAATTCGCAATCGTTTAATGACCTTGCAGTAGTGGCAGTCTTTTCTTTCTTGGGAGCGAGGGTTTGCAACCTGACCAGCTCGGCGTAGGACCCGTGCTTGGCCATGAGTGTGGCGTGATTACCTTGCTCAACGACCTGCCCCTTATGCATCACGATGATGTTGTCCGCCCCGGTGATGGTCGAGAGGCGGTGGGCGATGGTGAGCACGGTTCGGCCGGTCGAGATGTTGGCGATGGCCCGCTGGATCCGCTCCTCGCTTCTCGAGTCGAGCGCGGCCGTGGCCTCGTCCAGGACGAGAACAGCAGGATCCTTGACCAGAGCCCTGGCCAGAGCCACACGCTGTTTCTGACCGCCGCTGATCAGCCGCCCGCTGGATCCCACCACCGTGCCGTATCCGTGTTGAAGTCGAGTGATGAAGCCGTCGGCGTCGGCAAGCTTTGCTGCGCTTTGCACCAGTTTTACAATCTCGACGACATTGGCGCCCCGTTGCTCCGCAGCGGTAGCGAGATCTTTCCCTTTCCTCACCTCTGCAGCCAGGTCTGCCAGGTCGGAGCCGAGGAGCTTCGTCTTCAAGTGCTCATGGGCGGGATTGCCTGAGTTGATCAAGCCATGTGCGATGTTCTCCAACAGGGACCGGTCTAGGAGAGAGGGCTCCTGCTGCACCAGACTGATGAAGCTCCTCAGTTCACGGACGTTGACGTCGCGGAGGTCATGGCCGCCGAACAGAACGCTGCCGCCCGTTGGATCGTACAGTCTCGTCACCAAGGCCGCGACGGTGGACTTGCCGCTTCCTGACAGACCCACAATAGCGGTGTGCTTCGATGCCGGGATGCTGATATTGATCTTGTCCAGGACAGTTATCTCGGGCCTGGAGGGATAGCTGAACGATACGCCCTTCAGCTCGAAGCCCAGACTTAACTTTTCCGTCTGCTGTGACAAAAGCTGGACGCCTGATGCTGCCGTCCCGTCGATCTTGGACTCGCGGTCCATCTCCTCGCGCAACTTCCGGAACGAAGCAACGGCAGCCACGAAGAGGTGGACAAAGGGCGCGACCTGGCTCAAGAGCAAGGTAGCTGTAACCGTGTTAGAACACGTAGAACCTCGGAGAAGACTAGACATGGAGGGCACTTACCCTCAATCAGAATGAAGATGACAGTGAACGTGTCACCAACTGTAGCCCCCCCTGACTTCTGACCCGCAGCATCGGCAATCCGCCTACTCCCCTGCCAGAACGCCAAACCGTTCGCACCGTATGCGATGAAGTACAGCACACCAGACTGTATGCCCACGGCCGTGGCTTTCTTCACCCCCTCGCGCTTCGACGCAGACAGCGCCTCGGCGAACTTGCCCTCCAGCCGGTTATTCGCCCCGAACGCCTGCACCACAACGACATTGGACAGTGCCTCGGACGCAATCGACGCAGCCGTGGCCGCGTGGTCCGCCACTAGCCCAGAGTACTTCTCAATATAGTGGCTGCCCACAAACGACATCAAAAAGTATGCCGGCAACAGCGAGATAAGCATGGCAGCCAGCTCCCAGTTCTTGATAAAGGCCACAATGTAGGCCGTGACAAAAAACGACACGCTCGACAGACAGATTCCGACCTTCTCGGACGTGCCAGACCGAATAGTCTGCACATCCGCACTGAGGCGCTGCGCAACCTCTCCCGCTGGCAAGCCGTCAAAGTACGACGGCTCCTGCGTAAGCAGCCTAGCAAGATAACGCTCGCGTAGGCGCTGGGCCAGGCGCGAGCCGTACAGTGTCCAGCATGTTAGGTGGGCGTAGATGGTGACGAACTGGGCGATAGCCAAATAAAAGATCATGAGGATCTTGTCGTTGACGCTGCGCTGGTAGGCGTCGGCCGTGGCTGGGTCCACCGAGGATCCGGCCTCCTCGACGCACGTCACCTCGTTAAAATCGTTGAGCAGCTGGCCGAAGAAGATGCCAATCAGGGGGAAGGGTACGCCTGAGGCGATGGCGCACACGATGGCTGCTGCGAGCGTGGAGAGGTCGAGCTTGGTAGGGTTGCCGGCCAGCAGCAGGCGGCCGTAGCCCGAGAATGTGTTGACAGCCTTCATGGTGATCCTAAGTCGACGGTGTCCGGACCTGCTGCCGTGTGATGTCCCTCCTTCTTTCCTCTGGACCTTGAGATGAGAGGTCTTGGAATGTTGGCCGTCAACCAACGGGGTGTCATTAGAAGAGACTGTCGGAAAGGGTTTAGATCATATTCAGCCGACATCGGGCCCGGATGTATTAGACATTAGACAGGGGAGGGGTGCCCTTGTATTGTGTGGGGCGTGTGAAAGGACAACGGGTGGTCAAGACTGACTCCACGCATCTCCGCCCATGGTTACGACACGGCACAGTCGTGCGATCCCTCCCTGGTCCCTGTGACCCTCGAGCAGACCGCTATTTCTGGTAATGCGACGCCGTCCTTGATGCCGAAGCAAAGCGACAGAAGCCACGACGCCACGTCGAGGATAGAGACCATGAGCGCGAACAACTGGCGGACGGCCGCCGATCTTACAGCGAGGAATTTGGACTCCAATCATGAGGGGCGCAACGGGTAGATATTGTGTATACAGCATGAACTTGGGCAGTTACCACACTTTTCTGCGGATGCTGCACCCTAAAGCTTCGCATTCCATGCCGCGCGATCGGCCGACTCCAACGGCTTCTCCCTCCCATCCCAAAACAACGGGCATAGCTGGAACCACTTTTCCCTGCTGCAGATGGAGTGTACCGACCGCTTGTGGCCCAGGTCGACGTACTTGCCGATCGTGAGACCTTGCGAGTTTTCGTATGAGAGGATGATGGCGCCCGAGGCCTTGGGCTCTCCCACCACGTTGGCCGTGCGCGGGTCGTCGAGAAAGCAGTAGTGGATACAGCTCGAGTACCACGCCGTAACCCGCTTCGCGCCACGGAACGACGCGTCACCCACGAGCGAGTGCCGCCCGCGGTCGTAGTGGCCGGCGTCCCAATGCGCTCCGTAGTGGTCTTCCTGGGGAAGGGGGAAGAAGTGTCAGAGTTGCTCAGGCGAGGACTTGGGAAGAATCAGCGACTGGATGGGGCCTACCTTTGCCCAGTAAAGCTCGAAATAGGCAAACCGAGAGTCGTCGAAGCGCCCAAACAGGCAGAGGACATGCGGGTCAAAGTGCAGCTTGCGCAGATACTCGCGATGCTGGTCGAGTGTCCCTGTTTCGTTCCACCCGGCCGCAACGCGCGGGTCGTTCTGCCACTTATTGAACAGCTCCAAATGTTCTTTGTTCTGCCAGTCCACCGCTTCGAGAGAGAAGTGCGTGTCGAGCTCGGGAACGTAGCGGCTGTAGACAATGGAGCCAGGCTGTGGCTTCGGCCGACGTATTGGATGGCGGGTGAAGACAGGCTCACCATCGGGAAACTTGTTCGTGATTTGGAAGTTCTCGGGCATGATGGGGAAGTCGGCCAGGGACTTCAGCAAATGGCTATCCGTGCCATCTCCCACCACCCAAATCGGGCGGGGGCCCATCGGTGAGGCAGCCCCTTGCCAGAAGGAGCTTCGGAGAACCAGCAGCTCTGCTTCACCGGTCACGACCGGCATCTTGGTCCCAGCGGGTGGCCCGCGGGCGTCCCAGCGCGGCTTGGGATGCTCAATGGCCAGGCCCGTAGCAAGGAGCGTGTCCTTGAGCAGGTCCTTCCCTTCACCAGCGAGCGTCACCCTGAAATACTCGTGTGTCGGGTATGCGAGGTAGATGGCGTGAACTACGTTCCAAACCGGCCCGAGCGAGGGGGCACCGGCACCGGTCCAAGTGAAGACGGTCGAGGGACTCCGGCGGGCGCGGGCCCAAGGGCTGTTGTCGGCGATGGGCGGGCGCTCATTTTGTGGTGGCGGGGTCAGATCGAGCCAGAAGAGGGAGTCGATATGAAGGGGCTCCTGCAATGGACGTCCATGTTCGGGCTGCTGCTCGTCAAAGGTCAAGACGAGCTTGGCTGGTATTGATTGGGCGACAGTTTGAACGCGGTATGATGTCAGGAACGGATGTGGCAGCTTCACCGGAGGGTAATTACTGGCCGGCGTCGACGTCGGTGCCATGACGGTGGTAATTCTGATTTTTGAGACTGCAATGGCAGAAGGAGAGGAAAGCAAGCTCAAACAGGAGAAGGAACCACAAGTCAGTGGATAATCGGCAACAAAGTCAAAGGAAACTGCCGGCTCTCACATTGTTTAGGTACCGATATCGCATGAAGGTACCGACAGGGAGGAATGGTTCCAATGCCGACCCGAACAGGGGGCGGAGGTGCGGTTCCAGGCCCAGACGAGCCGACGCCAGTACGGATTATAAGAACCGATCCCGGGAGAAAGACAAGACTTCAACCTAAGCAATTCCAAGAGCGTTGCGAGCTCCACGTACCCGGTACCCTCCCTCTCGAGATGTCTCTGAGAACGCAAAATCTCCAGTTTCAGCACTTCCAGGTGTCTTTCCCGGCCGAGCACATTGTCCAGGTCACTATCAACCGACCCGACAAGCTGAACTGCATCAACAAGGCCACCAGCCGTGAAATAGCCGGCATCTGGGAGCGGTTCGACCAAGATGAGAGCCTGTGGGTTGGCATCATCACGGGCGTGGGGCGCGCGTTCTGCACAGGGGCCGATCTCCACGGTAAGTGCTCCGTTCCGTGGTGGGGATGTGGTGCTCCACCCTCGGCTGCAAAATTTTTATCAGATCATCAGATCAAGAAGCAAAGACGAGGTTTCCCCGGCTGACACATGCGCAGAGTGGAACGCCATGAACCAGGCTGGGGTGGTCAACGACATGGCAGCTCCGGGCCTCGCTGGACTTCCGCGGCGGGCAGGCAAGAAGCCCATCATTGCGGCCGTCAACGGGCTTTGCATGGGCGGGGGATTTGAAATGGTGGCCAATTGCGACGTGGTAATCGCAGCGTCGTCGGCCGAGTTCTCGCTGCCCGAGGCCAAGCGTGGCATTGTGCCCGTAGCGGGGTGTCTTCCTCGGCTGGCTCGCACCATTGGGTTGCAGCGGACCATGGATCTCGTGTTGACGGGCAGGAGCGTGGATGCCAGGACGTTGAGCGAGTGGGGACTGGTCTCGCGTGTGGTGGATGCGGCTGCCGACGGCGGCGTTGCGCGTGCAGCGATCCAGGTCGCGCAGGAAATGTGCCGGAACAGCCCGGATGCGCTCATTGTTGGGCGGGTGGGAGTCCGTATGGCCTGGGAAAACGGAAGCGTCGAGGATGCTGTGTCGGCATTGGACCGCGACTGGTATCCCCGGCTGCGGGAGGCGCCCAACTTTGCCGAGGGAATCCGGGCGTTTGGGGAAAAACGTCCGCCCAAATGGCTGGACTCGAAACTGTAGGTAGTATTCCACTCGGCTAAGAAACTATCGGATGCGAATTGCCTGATGGTCCCTCGTCAACTGCAGCTGGCATGGCTGCTGTGTCTTGGTTGTCGAATCGAAAGTGGGCTCTAAGCGAGCCGGGGCCAACAACGTGAAAATTTTCATCTAATCTGATGGATTGATTAGATCAAGCCTAGCAAAGTGGGGGAGGCGCTCTTGGCCACCCCGTTGCAGAAAGATGCCAAGAATGGCAGGTGGAATGAGCTTGAGTTGTTATGTAAAATCCACCACCGTGGTAGCTCAAGAACGAAGCACACTGTGTACACACACTCGAGATACACCACCGATTTCGGGGACGTGACAGACAAGAATGGCACGATCTAATCTTATCAGATGCAGGCAGGCTTGATAGGAGAAAACGGAAAAACGGGACAGTCCCGGGCCTTCATCGGGTCGGGAGAGCTGCAGCTTTGATCAATTGATACCACCCTGATCCGACCCAACCTTCTGGTTCTGTTTACCTTACCAAACTTCAATCCCTTCTTCCTCTTTTCCAGTCATTGCGACTCTGAGTGTCGTCTGTCTCGGTCCCCTCAGAGCAAAAACCAAAATGGCGCTGCTGTCTAGTGTGCGCGCCAAGCTGGGGCGGGCGTCGACAGAGGAAGAGGGCAAATTGCCGGTCGTTGTCGACACCACCGGAGAGAAGTCCCCTAGAGATCCCGAGATCAACGATGCGTCTGCCGTCAATGGCCAGGCTGATAGGCCCGGGAAGGACTTGCAGGAGGGTGTACGGGAAATCGAGGCCGTGACGTTGACCTGGAGCAAGACGACGCTGATTGCTGTCTTCATCAAGTGCGTCCCAACTTCTACCCGTCTGCGGGCGAATCGAAATGGCTAACCTCCTCTGTGCCTGTCCAGTATCTGGATGCTCTATCTCGTCAACGCGTTCCAGTACAACATTCTACAAAGCCTAGTTCCTTACGTCACGAGCGATTTCCAGGAGCACTCGCAGCTGAATGTCATCTACGTCGTCGCCAACGCCATCCAGGCCGCCATGTACATCCCCTTGGCCAAGGTTTTGGATGTCTGGGGAAGACCCACGGGCTTCATCATCATGACTTGTCTTGCTACCCTGGGCATGATTCTCATGGCTGCATGCCAGAATCTTCCCACTTTTTGCGCAGCCTTTGTAAGACTAGCTATCCGTTGCCTGGTTGTCCTGTTGTCTTCGTGAGCCTTTGCTAATAGTTATCAACTCAGGTTTTCTACCAGATTGGTTTCAGCGGCATCATCTTCTGTGTCGACGTCGTCACCGCCGACTCCTCCAAATTGAAGAATCGGGGCTTGGCCTATGCCTTCACCTCCTCGCCTTACATTATCACCGCCTTTGCCGGGCCAAAGGCTGCCGAGGACTTCCTCGCCAATGTCACCTGGAGATGGGGCTTTGGATGCTTCGCCATCATCCTCCCTTTCGTCGCTGCGCCGCTGTACTTCATGCTCAAGTTCAACCTCAAGAAGGCCCAGAAGCACGGCGTGCTCCCCAGAGAAAAGAGCGGCAGGGCGTGGCTGCAGAGCATTTGGTACTATACCGTGGAATTCGACGGTAGGTTGACTCTGAATCCAGACCTGTATAGAACGATTACTAACTTGTTGTCGTCCTAGCCCTTGGAGTCTTCCTCTTTTCTGCGGGTCTCACCGTGTTCCTCCTTCCATTTTCGCTTGCAGCCGAGGCCCCCAACGGCTGGGCGTCCGGATACATCATCGCCATGATTATCGTTGGCTTCGTGGTCCTGTGCGCCTTTGTCGTCTACGAGTGGCGGCTGGCACCTACGCCCATGTTTACCTTCGGCCTCCTATCCGACCGCACCGTGATCGGAGCATGCCTGCTCAGCGCAACATACCAGATCTCGTATTACTGCTGGGCCAACTATTTCAGTTCCTTCCTCCAGGCTGTCAACAACCTGGGCGTCGCCGAGGCCGGCTACGTCAGCAACACCTTCAGTGTGGTCTCGGGCGTGCTCCTGATCCTGGTCGGCTTCTCCATCCGCAAGACCGGCTACTTCAAGTGGCTCTTGTACATCGCTGTCCCGCTCTACATCTTTGCCCAAGGCTTGATGATCCACTTCCGGCGTCCCGACCAGTCGGTCGGCTTCCTGATCATGTGCGAGGTCTTCATCTCCATTGGCGGCTGCATCTTCATCATCGTTCAGCAGGTCGCCATGCTCGCCGCCGTCGACCACCAGCACGTCGCTGTCGCCCTCTCCCTCCTGTTCGTCGTCGGCACCACCGGCGGCGCCATTGGCTCGACCGTCTCGGGCGCCGTTTGGACAAACACCTTCTACAAGGCTCTCCAGGAGTACCTGCCCGAGTCGGCCCTGGAGAACATTGACATGATCTACGCCGACTTGACAACTCAGCTTAGCTATGAGGTGGGGACCCCTGAGCGGCTTGCCATTCAGGAGGCGTATGGATATGCCCAGACGAGGATGCTGGCTGCCGGCACATCTTTCATGATCCTGGGCATCGTTGCTGTGCTCCTGATTAGGAACATCAACGTCGCCAAGGTCCAGCAAGTGAAGGGTACCGTCTTTTGAGGTGATTGTATTCCCATGCATGCCCTTGAGGGCCATACTGTGAACTTGAAGCCGTTTGGAAAGGAGAAGGGGTAGTAGGCAGCGGGAGGAGAAATATGAGGAACATGATACCATGTAATATAGCGAGTACTTAGTCGTTCCGGTGTAACAATTACCCGGACGTATGCCATTTGGACTTGCCCCATGCAGGACCTGTTTCGCTTGTATACCTCCTCACTGCGTCATCCCTACGCCTGGAATGCTGTCCAACCCTGGTGAGTCCGTCAGCTCCGTCTCCTCTTACAAGAGGAGAATACACTTCAACTCACATCCGTCAACATGCTCTGGGATGTTCTGTGGGATAGTGCACTTCATGGCCTCCTCGGATGTTTGAGTTCGGAGCTCCTTGCAGACGGCGTTGCCGCAGCGGGCATCAAGGGCGCGTTGCAGGGAGTCGCCTTTCCAGCCAAACATGTAGTCGCCGTGCTGCGTATATCCAACACTGTGGATCCCAACTGTTAGCGGATGCGTCCGGTTAGCATCAATCTTTTCAGGGGTCATACGAATCGTCAGTGCTCCACACGAACGGCTGCGAGCCATCCTCTGGCCAAAGGTCCGGATCATTGAATTTGGTGGTCTGTTCACTCTTAGCTTTCTGTCACCACAATAAAGCGGAAAGGAAGACATACATCCCACATCACCTCGTACATCAGCTGGGGCAGCCGGACGGGATGAGTCTCAGGACAAGTGCCAACCGACTCAAAGGTTCCAACTGCTGGATAGGCGACGTGGCTCTTGTGGTCAGGGCTGTCAATGTTCTTGCCGTCCCAGCAAGTCGGGAACGTCACAGTGGTCCTGATACCGCCGTGGCAGAAGCCGGTGGGCAACGTCACGGAGTCGGAACCCGTGCAAGGAGCGCCGCCTTGGTCGTACTCGGCGCCCAGGCAGCGGTGGCAAAGCTGTCTTTGCATGCCCGTCCCCTCGCGCAGGCCGGCGTCTCCGACGAGCATGCGGAAGCCGGGTCTGAATGCCGTGACGGTGGTCTTGCCATCGTAGGGAGGGATGTAGTACACTAAAGGAGGTACCCAGGCCTGTCAGCGACAGAGATGATGGTCATGGAAAAGGGGGTAAAATGTACCTGTGACACCACCGTCCGCTCGGAGGCCGACATTCGGAAACTGACGCACCCGCTTATATGTTCCGTTACGGGCACGGAAATACAGGACGGCGGTCCAGTAGTTGGAGAAGTCCTCGGAGAAGGTGCAGCTGGTGCAGGTTGACTGCTTGACAAGGTCGTGGGTGGCTGGATCCATGCTGACCTTGAACGAGTTTCCTCCGACGATCTGGTGGACGTGAGGTGACTGCGGCATTCCCGGGTTGACCAACGGGTCCATACGCGCGACAACGAGCTGGGAGCAGCTGAAACGGATCATCTGCTGCGCTGCTGCCCCTTGGGCAAGCAGCACCAGTGAGAGAGCCTTGCACTTCATCTTGGTCTGTTGGTCGCGACGAAGGACTGCACGAGGCGACGCAGGTATCAGCCAGAGTATGGTTCTGAAGTTGGATGTGGCCGAACCAAGTTCAGTCTGCCACCCCCTGGACAGGCACAGTGCGGTCCTAAATAGCGAGAGTTCCATTCCGGTCGGGATAACGGGGCACCCAATGCCGTCCAACACCGAGAAGAACGGGGTGATCGGCTGCATGTGGATTAGTAGATTGTTTCTACCTTGTAGTCGGCAGTTGTCGTCCTTCTAGAATCTGGACTGGACATGGGTTCTTGGAAGGGCGTTAATATCGGTTGAATAGGTCCCCTCCCTCCTCCTCTCTCGATAAACAGGGATCGGCTACGCAGGCAATCTGGGAGAATGAGGCTAAACAAGACAGTCACACAAGCAGTATTAAGATTTCGCCGTATACCTTTAGTGTTGGAGGTCTCTCCGCTTTGATTCTAGGGTTATTTAACTGATTGGCTTCACATTTTGTGCTTTCTTTCCCTCAGCTGAGTTAGTCCAGTCATCGTCAACTAAGCCCCGCCTACAATGCGCGAGAACGTCGTGTCATTTGCCTTGAGCACGGTGGTGGCACACCTGCTCTTGTCTAAAGCATACGCCGCGAGGCCCTGCGGGAATTCGAGTGCAGGTTTCCAGTATCGCCTGGGCGACATGAGATATGACGGGCCAGACCCGAGCAAGAACAACGGCCTGGCCACCATCGCAGCGAGTTTGCAAGGCAGCACTGGAACTCCCTTGTTTGAGTGCATCGGACAGTGGCCTAAAGCATGGGAGGGCTGGTATGAAGACGGGAATAAGCTGATATGGGGCGACTGCATCTATACCGGCGCTGGCCTGGCCCAGGACAGGACTGTGTCCTTTGCAGTGGACTGGAAGAAGAGGGCGATGTACCTGGCACACACGTTTGCCTGCTCTGACAAGGAAGGGTGAGCGCCCTTTGTTGGGTCTCCGCAACCGACGCCTCACTGGCTGACTGATATTGAATGAAACAGATCCGACGGGCTGGCAATTGGGTCCATAAGCCTCGACCTCAACTGCACAACCGCAGATGACGGCAGCTTCTGTGTCCCCAAGAGCCCATCGACGGGTACTCGGCCGACGCTCACCATCTCCACTACACTTCTGCCGGCTCCCCTAGATGGGACTGTGGCATGCATAGACGCATCTACACAGTACCAGTCGTGGAGGCTGGAGAACTGGCAACGGCGCATTGAGATGGAGCCCGGATCCTCGCCAACCAATCCGAAGATTGTGTCTGACTCGGGTCCGTCCTTTACCCTTAGGAGCCTTGCCCTCGGCGGCGAGCTCAGCTGCGCAACATCCGGCCAGCAAAATGGCACATTTGTGGGCGCATGCAGGTTCGCGGACGCAGCAGCCAGAACCACGGGCGAGTTCTCCTTTGACCCAAAGCTGAACATGCTTGTTATCTCTCAGCAGTGGAGGTGCGATGACTCGTAAGTACCCATTACCACCACCCTTCGCGTAATTTGTCTGACTTTGGACCTTTCATAGGACATCATTCGAGACCGATGGCGTGATCTTCATGCAAGCATCCTGCGGGCGCGTCTTTAACAGCAACATGTTTATTTGTACTTCCAATCCTGTTTGGATTGGCACAGGAGTGGTGTAACCCAGGACTCCAAAGTTGGGCAGGCTTAGACTTCAGCATTTCAGCTGGTGTCCTTGAAAATCCGTCTCAAAATCCGTCTCCAGAATATTGCTTATGATAACCAAGAACCTTAGAAGTAGAGTTTGTTCTATAGTCAACACTTTGCTGAGCGATCATCTCATTATCTACTCTCATGTGAAAGGACGGCGGTGGCAATGGTCAGCTGTTCGTCGTCCGGTAACACAGCATGCGCCGCACACCATACAGCCCAATCACCCGCTTTATGCTGCTTATCTCGCCTGCGACTGAAAGCAAAGGTAAAGGTTTGGGAACTTTGCTAACTCCTGTTGGGTTGGTGTCGACAGCACGTCCAAGCTGTATTTTCTCCAAGTCCCTATCCTTGACTTTCAGTGACTGCAACCATTCTAACTACAAAGACTCGACAGATATGCGTCTATCAGTGCTAAGTCCCGACTTCCCAGACGGCGCTCCCACACAACTGTTTGGGGACCGAGCGTGGGGCATCGCGGAGTTGGACCTTCAAACCAGCGACGACACAGTCGACTTCATCTGTCTGTCGTACTCCTGGGGTCTTGGACGGACTCCCAGCCCATTCCATCCAACCGCGATGGTTTCGGACAGGACAGAGCCAGCCGTGTCAGCGATAATTATGCAGCGGCCGGCCTGCCAAAGGATCTGGGTGGATGCCTTTAGCGTGCCCGGCGAGGAGCACCCTGCCGAACGAGCAGCGACACTCGAGAGCATGGGATTCATCTACTCGCAAGCTATAGAGGTCATTGTTGTGCTTACCGAACAAGCATGTCCGGCCATCGAGCAAATCCGCCAGAGACGAGATCTGTTGCCGACACACCTCGGCCTGCTTGAGAAGGAGGACTGGGTCACCCGGGCATGGACATACCAAGAAGCTGTAAACGCTAAAAGGCTTTTCATCACCTGCGAAAACGCAGCCCACGGCACCATTGTTGACTGCACTGAGTTCCTGTCATACCTGGGCCACGCCCTCATCTTACTTCCGCTTCCCGAGCGCGCCGGTTATCCACGTCTCGACTCGTTCGAAGACGTCATGACGGACTGGAACGTCGCCGGATACCTGGAGCGGTCGGCTCTACAGGTTATGTCCGCTATGGACACCCGCTCTCAAACTCGGATTGAGGATCACTTCTATGCCATGATTGGAGCCCTGTCCAACGAGCCGGCCAAGCCAGTGCAGCTCTTAAGTCCTTGTGAGGCGTTCATCTCTCTGTGTGAGCGCAAGGGAGATTACTCGTTCATTTTCAGCTCGGTTGAGAGGGACACAACACTCGGACGGCGTTGGCGCCCCGTTGATGACCCCAAGCTTCCCGCAATCATCCGACTGCCTAGCTGGGGAAATGGTTTCCGTGGACGGGTCGATGATGGATGTCTCATCTTAGAAAACGTCGTCATCCTGAAGCCGGCACCTCCTCTGCCGCATCTCGACGCCTTCATGAAGGAATTTGTCGCCGGTTACCGACCGGACGGTGCTTATGCTGGTCTGGACTTCGGAGAGGCAGCCTTTAAAGTCCTCCAGGAATTGGGCTTTCGGGGGACTTCTGAGTATGTCAGCACGGGATATGGTTTTTTCTTTTGTCGAGAACAACTACCCCAGCTGGACAGCGTTGAAATTCTGGTCGCAGCGGGGATAAGGTGGTGTCTTGGAGCGCCGGGGATCGCCCGGTACACCCAGGACTCCGACAAGGATGAAGTTTCGTTCTACGAGCCGGGCGTCTTTGTTGGGAGCATGGTTGACCTAGAGGATGCGCCCACCATAGTCAGGCTGGTCTAGGCCGTTGCAGCGCCAAGGTACTTCGCAAAACTCCGGTCGTTGTCCTTGCCCTGCATATGCTGGGTCAGACCACCAGGTTCTATAGCTATTTCCATTATTTACCCGCTGTTCTACTTTTCTGCCTGTATACGCATTCTTTTATACGGTGCCCTAAATCAAGGTACCTAGGCTGCTAGAGCCTCAGAGCGTTGGTGGCTGTGCCAACCATCTTCGCTGGAGCTGAACTTGAATGGTTGGATGTGAGCTTTCTAGTGTGGCCTCGCTGCGGCACACTCCCAGTCAACCTCTATAGCATTCTGCCCATCCAACATTCTCCTCGACGGTTCCACTCCCAGCATTATGCCCGTGACTTGCCATATTACGGCATATAATCCTGATTATTTAAATTATCTATGAACACTACCCACGCAATACCCATTTCCAGCCTGCACAGGGGCAGCATAGGTGCGTATAAGGTGTCCCCCATTGTCGTTAGAACTGGAGGACGCCTGTGTCCTAGGAGGTCCTGCCAGGACATTGGACCGGGATACGCGTGGACGAAACGGATGGTACTAAGGCGCCCATTCCCCTAATAGAAATCGAGCTGCCTGGAACTGAAAGGTACGGTCGGCGGCGCTGGTGTCACGGCATGCAAAGACGCCTATGAAGGCTCGACTCCAGCCGCATCCTGCAAGCCATGAACGTAAATAGCGCCAGCCTCGTTGTCTGTCATCAAACCGCCATAGCTGACGGCTCAATTGCGCTCAGATAAGCGCGTAAAACGCACCTACACACCCGCACAAGAGAAAGGCGCCACGAGGGCGGGGGGAGGCACAACGAAACATGGCCCTGTCTGCATCCTCCGTTTATATGTAGCCCTGGCGCAGAGCGTCGCGAGTCCTGCTTAAAGTACAGCCCGCCCGCGACGTTAATCGAGTATGGGCCCTGGATCGGATTTTGCAGCTTCACCCGTTCCCTTCCTTGGCGTAACAGCCTTCGCTTCTTCGCAATTTTCGTTGTCTTGCTCCTCGCTTACTCCTTAAACTTTCTGGGATTGCACTTGCACCTCTGCCACTGCCTTCTCTTCCACACCCCTGAGCCCCGCAGTCTTCGACACATCAGAGCTACCACTGCCAACATGTCCCTGGCCACTATCACCTTTCCGAACTGGACACCCCCGGCCCTCTCCTCCCTCCACTTAGTCCCAACTGCACTCACGTCCGGGCATTCCTCCAGTCATGGTTTGATTTAGGAGCCTACGAAGGTGAAAAGGAAGGGTGACCGTGTTGTCTGATGGTTGAGGGTGGGAGTAAGTGCTGGTGAGCGCAGTGTAGTTTGCTGTCATTGGTCGAGTGGTAGTTATAGTGCTCGGAGCCAGAGGACATGTTTTCTAGTGCTGGTCGCCGTTGCTACCCTTGCTCATGCTGGCCTTGTCAGAGTCGTCCGTAGTGTCACGGGTAGTGACAGTGTGAGGTTCATGTGCGCAACTCCTGGTTCGACTGGACAGTTCGAACCACGGTCCCTCTTTTGAGGGTGTTACGCAGTGGTCAGTTGCGCCCACCCGTGACAGACGCCTCCATCAAGAACAAGATATCGAAATGTCGACATTGACGCCGGCACGAGGACGTGGACGGGGCTCGCGGGTCCAGGGGACTACAGGAAGACAAGGAAGAGGTCAGGGACAGGGAAGAGGTCAGGGACAGGGAAGAGGTC